GGTGGTGGTAGCCAGGCACCATCTAGTTGTGTTGGACTCAATCTGGTGGAGGCTGTGGTAGTTGTGGTCCATGATATCATTAACTTTTAAGGCTGGAAGATTATCTAGTCCTATAGTGCTCAGCCTGGCTGCAAATTAATCACCTGGACCCACTCAGAACACTGGCATTAGTAAGCTTTAAGTTCCCTGGGTGGATCTAATGTGTATCAGGTTTGAGGAGTGCGGATTTAGTCTAACCTACTTTTTAAGCTTGAGAACCTTTATTACTAACCTGATTGTTCCGAATCATTTCTTAATTTAGCTATTTCTCCCCCAGGCTGAAGAATCCAGTATACTGGTGATTAAAAACACAGGATTCTAGAGCCAGAATGTCTTGTCACTTACTAGCCATGGGAGTTTGGGCAAGTTGTCACACCTCTCTGTATCTCTGAGACGTGGATGACAGCGGCACCATTCGAATAGGACTGCTAGGAGGGTTTTGTACATGTGAAGTGCTTAGGAGAGTGGCTGGCTCAGAGCAGTCACTCAATATGTCTTACCTGTTGCCATCGAGTTGATTCTGACTCATAGTGACTCCCTGTGTTATTGAGTAGAACTGTTACACAGTGTTTTCTTTGTGGAATCTTTATGGAAAAGATCGCCAGGCCTCTCTTCTGCAGTACCACTGGGTGGGTTTGAACCATCAACCTTTAGGATAGCAGTTGAGTGCAAACCACTGTGCTACTTAGGGACCCAATATGTCTTACAGATTAATAATATTATCATCTCATTTACTTTTTATCTCCTAACTTGTAACCCTCTCTGACTCTCCCATGAGTCCTGGAGACTCAAAAGGCAGCTTTCTTCAAACCCTGGACTCTTACTTCAATAGTAGATAATAATCTGTCTGCTTAAAGATTCTGAACAGAAAGACAGAATGGCCTGCAGTTATAAGATGTGGCCTGAGGGACGACCCCAGTGACTTTGTCCTATCTGAAGGGACCATTGCTTTTCTCCAGCCACTTCTCCTTTTCTTCACAATTACCTGTAGGTCTTCTGCAGTTT